CGAAGGCCTGGAGTAAAATAACACACGTTAGGATGCTCATGTTCGGCCAAAGGAAACACAAAATGCTGAGGTAATTAGGAGGGACCGCCTTTTTATTCTAATTGTGGATGATGTGTTTCCTTTTTTCGGGTGGGCGATCCCTTCTCTCAGATGCTGCACTGGAAGATGACTGGGGAAAACGCAAATGTTCTTAGGGTATTTGCCCTTCTGGTCAAATATGGCCAGTAGAGAATCAGGAAAATACTGCATTATGGCCACTAATGGGAGCTGAGGATCACAGGAAATTAATATATCTTAGTAATAAGAGATAACGTGTATCATTTCAAGAGAACCCTGGAGGAAATTGGCAGATGGGGTGGGGGTGACGGACCCCGTAGTAACTTTGGTTACATTTACCTGCTAATTTCCTCTAGCATTCTTTAGAAAATGTTAAGAATGAACAAGTCATATGGAAACAATTGTGTTGACATGTGTTGTTCTTGTGCAGAAAAAAGCAGGTCACTGCACAATGTAGGCTCTGATAAAGTGTTAGCTCTCTTTGTATGTTTAGTAGTACTGTATGTGCTGCATAAAATCACTTGAAAAATGTACATACAAATTCACAAAAAAAAATTGCCTAGCTACACGCACGCCTATGTGCACACTGCCATGTGTCTCTGCCTTAGACCTTAGAGAGAACTGCAAAAGTCTGTGTGCGTGCGGTGGATCCAGCAGTTGGGCAGACATGCCACAGACCCGGCAGAGACCCGTGGCATGTCTGTGTATGCGCCAGATTTGTTTTAAGAGGGTGGTGTGGGAGCTGGTGTGAGGCGAGTGATCGGTGGATCACAGCAGGATAACACTGGATTCGCTGGGCTGATGAGTGTGCTATCTGAGCTCACTCTAGTGCACAAGGTAGAGAGGGTTAAAAGAAAATAAATCCCTGGGGGGTAGAGTTCCCCTTTAATGGGCAGTTGTTAAGCCGTCATTCACAACTTTGTGATGTGACAAAGGTGCTGCAGGGTGCACCGCAGTCAGGGCAGCCATCGGAAACTTTGGGGCCCCTTACGCAAATTTAAGTTTGGGCCCCCAAACTGATCCTCCCACCAAGTTCGTCCACTGGCTGTCCCACCAGGCCCTTTAGTGCACCCACTTTTATTTTAACACTCTTACAACTTAATATATAAAATTGAAAACTGTATTCCAAGTCATCAGTGCATTCAATATTTAAGAGTAAGGAAATAAATTTTGGCCAAAAAATATGTTGAGCAGGACCCTACACTAACCGCACTCCCTTTTCACTAACCACACACCCTTTTAACTAACACTATCTGCACTACCTATTCACTAACACTAACTGCCCCTCATCTATCCCCTAGTACATTTAAGAAAAAAAAACTGGGCTGTACAGGCTCCCAGGTGGGCTATTCGGGCTCTCGGGTGGACTTTGGGCACAGGTGGGCTGCAGGCACTGTGTGGGCTCTCAGGTGGACTGCAGGCTCTGTGCGGGCTCTTAGGTGGACTGCAGGCTGTGCGGGATGTGTGTGGGCTCTCAGGTGGACTGCAGGCTCTGTGGGGACTCTCAGGTTCATTATACAGCAATGCAGAACATTATATGAATTGGACTCTGTATTTTGCAACGCACTGGTCTCAGGACCTAGTAACGCACTGGACTCTGGACCTAGTAACGCACTGGACTCTGGACCCATCGGAGACCCCGCAGAGCCCACCATAGAGTGACCTTGCAGAGCCCACCATAGATCCCAGAGCCTATCTGAGACTTTCTATGGTTGGCTCAGGTGTGCTGGTCAGGGTCCCTTTCCCTGCCGCTGCTGGGCCTCCTCTGCCACCGAACCGGCGCTGCTGTGGCCCGGCCTCCTCCGTCAGGGGGCCCCCAGCCTTGGACCCTGGGGCGGTCGCAACGGTATTTCCACCCCTGGTTCTTTACCTCTGCCATACATGGGTATCGGCCGTAACCCCCTGATGGCGGTCCTGACTGCAGTAGCGAGCCCATTCATTTGAATTAGCTGCCTACTGCAGCTATATCACACTAAAATAGGTGCATGCATTTTTTTTTTTCATTTCATTGCACCACATAGGTAATAGGTTACCATGAAAGTAGGTGCAATGCAAGGCACACGCAGTGGCTAGGTGCATTGGGGTGCCACTAAGGGCCGATTCACACCAGATGCATTGGGACTGCAATGGTTGTTGTTTCCAGAGCAGCCCCAACACAACAACACAAGGCAATTTGCCTTGTCACAGAGGGGCTCAGTTCACACCACTGCATTGCGAACACGGTTCTGTGCGCTTAAAAAAAGTACAGCATGCGGTACTTTTTATCAGCACATTGGGATGCGACACAGTACACCTGCCCCGCATCCCACAGTGCCCGAATTAAACATCACGTGTGACATCAGGTATACTGAGACGCCGCAGCTGAAGCGGATCCCGGCAATTGTGCCAGGATCCGCCCAGCTGCGTGACTGACAGCTGGCTCTGCCTATCTAGAAGCAGAGCCAGCTGTAATCGCCCCCTCCCCCGTCCCTTCCGCCAGTCAGCGCTGGCGGATCGGAGCGGGGAGGGGTGAATCCAGCCCCTCCGGTCACGGCAGAGAGCCGTGACAGGATCGAGAGGTGAGCGTACGCCAGTATGTGTTCGCTCACCTCCCGATCTACTGAGCCGACCTGTGACAGTCTCATTGTCAAAGGTCGCCTAGAACTATGAGGTGAGTGAAAACCACTCACCTCATAGTTCTCCTGTAATAAATAATGGCACCACAGTGCATCTAACATTGCAACAAGCCATGCACTCCCACAACAGGTCGCCTAGAGCTATGAGGTGAGTGAAAAGCACTCACCTCATAGTTCTCCTGTAATAAATAATGGCACCACAGTGCATCTAACATTGCAACAAGCCATGCACTCCCACATCGCATAGATGTGAACAGAACCTAAATCCACTGGGGGAACTACCAGGGTCGCAGCGGTCGCAATTGGGACCAGGCCCTGGCGTTTCGCCACTTGGGGGGGGCCCAGCAAGGAAGATGCCCCCCTCCTGAGACCTTTCTGCACCCCTCCTGAGACCCTCCGCAACCCTCCTGACAACCTCTGTACCCCTCCTGACAACCTCTGTACCCCTCCTGACAACCTCGGTACCCCTCCTGAGACCTTCCGCTCCCCTCCTGAGACCCTCCGCACCCCTCCTGAGACCTTCCGCACCCCTCCTGACAACCTCTGTACCCCTCCTGAGACCTTCCGCCCCCCTCCTGAGACCCTTTGCACCCCTCCCGAGACCTTCCGCAACCCCTCCTCAGACCTTCCGCACCGCTCCTCGGACATACCGCACCCCTCCTGAGACCCTCTGCCCCCCTCCTGAGACTCTCCGCCCCCCTTCTGAGACCTTTCTGCACCTCTCCTGAGACCTTCCGCACCCCTCCTGACAACCTCTGTACCCCTCCTGACAACCTCTGTACCCCTCCTGACAACCTCTGTACCCCTCCTGACAACCTCTGTACCCCTCCTGACAACCTCTGTACCCCTCCTGACAACCTCTGTACCCCTCCTGACAACCTCTGTACCCCTCCTGACAACCTCTGTACCCCTCCTGACAACCTCTGTACCCCTCCTGACAACCTCTGTACCCCTCCTGACAACCTCTGTACCCCTCCTGACAACCTCTGTACCCCTCCTGACAACCTCTGTACCCCTCCTGACAACCTCTGTACCCCTCCTGACAACCTCTGTACCCCTCCTGACAACCTCTGTACCCCTCCTGACAACCTCTGTACCCCTCCTGACAACCTCTGTACCCCTCCTGACAACCTCTGTACACCTCCTGAGACCCTCCCGGGACATTCCGCTACCCCTCCTGAGACCCTCCTAGGACCTTCCACTTCTCTCCTGAGACCTTCCGCACCCCTCATAAAATGTATTGCTGGGACTTGTAGTCCCGCATAGCTGGTGGTATTCTGCATTGCTGTATGATGATTATACAGCAATGCAGAATAGCACCAACTATGTGGGACTACAAGTCCCAGCAATACATTATATTATTAAGTAGGGAAGCACCAGTGCCAATACTGGGCTTTTTCACAAGTACTCATACTCGTGAAAATTCCCCAATACTGGTGGTCTGTCGAGAGCGCCGGCCTAGTCGAATTTGCCGACCTCAGCATCTGCGCTTGCGCACAGACCAGTATTATTGAGCAAACCGGGATTTATTTACAAAGTATTTTGTTTAAATCGTTAATTGTGTCCGTTAATATTATTCCCTCATTTACTCCCTTCCATCATTCACTGCCATGGACGGCATATTATTAACAGTCACAATTAACCATTACAAATGAATATTTTGTAAATAAATGCCGGTTTCCTAGGTAATCCTGTCTGTATGTAAATGCAGATACTGGGTCAGCGTTCTCGACAGAACACCGGCACTAAAATTTTAAACAAGCGGCTGCCTGAGGTCCCGCGCTTGCTGGGGACCTCGTCAGCCTTTCTGTTAACCAGGCGGTGCTGGAGGGGGGGGCCTTCATGGTTTCTTGCACGGGGCCCGAAGGTTCTAGTTACGCCTCTGCCTAAATCATTGTCATCCATACAATAGTTTTATGTGTAACCAAAGATTTATATTAAGCAATAACGCAAAGTAGGGATTAGAACAATGTGATGTTACTTTTGTTATCGTAGTCGGCAGTTTATACGCGATCCTACAAAAAACGGGTAAACTCCAGTCGCAATTCAGGGCAAGGCTCTCCCACAACAGCTGCAGCACACTGCGCACATTCTCTAGCCATCGTCTGGTAGGAGGAGTCAGAAGTGTGACTGTACATGGCTGTAGGGGGAGGAGCTAGACGAGGCTTTGCGTGTAGCAACAGTGTTTTTATTTTTTTATTTTTTGTAAGCAACAGTGTTTTGAAAGAAGAGGCCTCTCTGAGACTTGGCCTGTGTTCTGTCACAAAAGCCAATCTACCCAATAGGAAATATTAGAATTGGGCGGAGTTTTTTTCACAGCGGAAACGTCGCGAGAATTAAAAGTAGAGCGTAAGCCACAGAAACGGCGACGAGGAGGAAGGAAACAGATGTACCGTTAGTGATGTGATGGGCGCAGATTGATCGATCGACCGACCATGTCTGTGGCGGCCTTTCCCGGACTGCCCAGGCTTTGCCTGCTCCTGGTCTCAGTACGTTTGCTACTTGCTGGATCTGCGGGTAAGTGGAAAAGAATTGTGTTGTTCGGACCAAGCAGTATGGCCTGGAGAAGATGACTACAGTCGAGTGTGTGCTGCTCGTCTATTGGGCAGGGCTTTGTGTATCCTGGTGATGTGTTTGGTCTGGCTTTTCTGGCATGACCGTTTTTGTATGAGGATTGTATGGTGTTATCACCTGCATCTTCACTGTGATTGTGGATAAAAAATATATTGGGACTTCGTGCATTGTATGCGGGTACACTCGTCCGCAAATAAATAAATAAAAACAAATATTTAGATAAGATGTAGATAAGATTTTTAAACTGTGTTTGATATTCATTGTTTTGAAATAGATGGCTTTAAAATGTATCTAAAACCAAAACCTGATATTTGCAGCTTACCGATTTAATACATATGGTTGCATTAGTTTTTTTTTTTTTTAATAACTTTTGTCACCTGTTTTTGGGTGGCTCCACTCTATGGAGGAGCAACAGTCACCCTTGGACAGCAGTATTGTCAACCTGAGGGTAGTATTGGATGTACAAGTAGATTTTAGATGGAATTGACTAACAAATGAAACCCACACTAACACTTTTTTAATCAGTTACAGCAACAGTTTATTGTTTTTGTTTTGGGATGTACATGATTTACATGAGTGAATAGAAGCTGCTACCCCCTGTCATTGTTAGATGGTTTGTCTCAACCCCTGGTCTGCCTTTTTTGCCGTACAACTTGGTTTATTAAAGGAGAACTATGAGGTGAGTGCTTTTCACTCATCCTCATAGATCTAGCCGACCTGTGACGATGAAACTGTCACAGGTCGGCTTAGTAGATCGGGAAGTGAGCGAACACATACCAGCGTTTCTCGATCTTGTCGACGGCAGAGAGCCGTGACGGGTGGGACTGGATTTCCCCCTCCCCACTCTGATCCTCCAGCGCTGACTGGTGGAACGGACGGGGGAGGGGGCGGGAACATAGGCAGAGCCAGCTGTCAATCACGCAGCTGGGCGGATCCAGACATAATTGTCGGGATCAGTTTCAGCTGCGGCGTCTTAGTATACCGCAGATTTGAGTGGGTAATTCAATTTTCCCAAATTACCTGGGAAAGTGAACTTGCCCTTTAATGCATGTTGTGCGTGTTAGAGATCGCTGCTGCCTGGCTATCGCAATATGGCACACAGTGGAATGGTTGGCACACACACACACACACAATGTCCTAAGCGCGTGTTTATTTGCATGCAGATGGTGGGGGTGGCAGGGTTGGTTTTAATTTTAATAAAATTTGTACTTTTTCACTTTTTTTTCCCCCCTTTATTTTATTCCTATCACACAGGTGATTACAAGCTACTATGTGATGGTTTGGCAGTGACCGGTTCTCTTCATGGAACCTGCCCTCCACTGCAGAACAGATCTTCTGTCTGTGCAGTTTGACAGCTGAGACAGGTGGCGCTGATCCCCGCTCTCTATTCTGAGCTTATTTGCCGTGATCCCAGGTCCTTCAAAAGAGCCGGGGACCCCAAAAACCACGGCGGGGGGCAGACAAGATCACATGTAGTAAATGAGCGGCGGTTCCCCCTATCTACATTTAGCTCTGCTAGCCCGCAGAAGGGCTAAATGTAGAGACAAAAACTACCCGCGTGGCACCTGGAATTGCATGTCCCAGGCGTCGGGCGATACAAGTTCCACAACCCTGGCTCTTCCTGTTCATTTATAACTGGGGACACAGAAAGCATACTATGTCCTCAGTTATTTACAAACACTCAGTGATCAGCCCGCTCTCCATGCTGACTCCTCTGCGCTGTGACAACTCTCCTCCCGCACCGCCCCACTCAGCATCCTGACGCCTTCTCTCCTCCTCGCTGGACGCCACTCTGTCCCCTTGGATCCCCGCTGCCTCTGCTGAGGGGAGCAGTGGGCAATGGAGGGGACAGTCTGGAGTCCAGTGGGGAGGAGAGAAGCTAGGGATGCACTGAATTTTTGGATGCATTTTCAGGCCTTTATGGTACTAGTACCATTTTAGGCCTTTTTTTTTTTCGGTGGCCAACATTTCGGAGCATCCCTAGTATCTATGCTCAAAAACTAAAAATAAATATGTATTTCTATATGAAATATGTATTCTCTACACGAGCGGGAAACCTCCAGGATTTTAAACGGCCAGCGTCTGTAAAGATGCCCGATCGCTTGTATGATGCAAGTCAGGGTGACGCCCCCCTCATACCTCTTCTCGCCATCCCCGCGTTCCCGGGCGTCATCCATCCCGGGCGATTTGGCGGCTCTGCACTGAGAACGGAGGGAGATCAGTACAGATCTCCCTCCGCTCTCCTCCCGGTCTCTGAATGCAGGAAGTGAGAAGCTGCTGAAGCACATCTGTGCTTCATCAGCTTCTCTGGGGGGTCCCTAGGTGATAGGGGTCTTAGAGACCCCTGATGTCTCCATGAAGGGGACCTGTCACTGTAATTTGTTATTACATAGGGGACTTCTTCGCACACCCTACGTGATAACAATAAAGTAAAGTGTAAAAAAAAAAAGTTAAAAAAAATTGCTCACAAAATAAATAAAATTTACACACACAAATAAAAAAAAAAACCACAAGCTTTTTAAAGTCCCCCACCCCCACATGCGCAAAAATGCGTTGGGTGTGCCTACACGCAAAAACGACGATTGCGCCCATTACGCCGCGCATGTTGCAAACGGTGCAGTGAGAGCAATAATTTTAGGGCCATCAATCAGTGATAACAGGAAAGTGATGAGCGCTAAAATCTTTTGAAGCAATGCCTATGGCCAATTTTGGCTGATTAGATTTTAACGATTTCGCGGGTGTGCACAATTTTAAGGCTTGATATGTTTGGTGTCTATTTACCTGATGTGACCCAGCCTTTTATATTTTACCAAAACATTGGGTAAAAATAAATGTTTCCTAAAATATTCGGTACTTTTTTGTTATATAGTAAAAAATAAAAACCCCAGTGGTGATTAAATACCACCAAAAGAAAGCTTTATCTGTCCCCCCAAAATGGTAAAAAATGCAGATTGAGTATCAGTCTGCACTTTCCCGTGGGCTTCATCCTGGAAAAGATGTGGGAGTAAAATCCCCTCTTCTCTGAAGCAGGTACTCGTAAAATGACCCCCTGGTCCAACAAATCTGGCAGGGCCGCTGTCATTGCCTCTGCTTTCTTCCGGTCCTTGGACAGGGAAGTAATCAGAAGCCTGGACGGGGCCGTTCCCTCAGTTCTATTTTGTAGCCAATCTGAACCAGCTCCAAAATGAATTTGTTGCTGGTCAGCTCCCTCCAGAGCGGGAAGAATTCTCCCAGTCTTCCTCCCACGCTGAGCAATCGGTCATTGGGATTTATTGGGCTGCTGAGGGGGGTTAAAGATGAAATTGCTCTTAGACTTTCCCTTTTTTAAATGCCCACCCTTTGGATTGGTCTTGTTTTTTCCCATAAAATCCCCTCTTCTCTCCCAAATTTTGACCCCTTTGGCCACGAAAAAACGTTTTCCCCTGCTGCTTGGGTGGCAGCGGAAAACCTTTCCTCCGCGCATCTATCCAACACCGCCTCCAACTCCTGGCCAAAAAGCAAGTCACCTTTGAAAGGTAGCCCGCATAACTTTGCTTTGGAGGCTGCATCCCCTGGCCAAGTTTTGAGCCACAATGCTCTCCTGGAGGAGTTGATCAATGCTGTAGTTCGAGCTGAGTACCTGACTGCCTCAGCCGAGGCGTCCGCAATGTAAGCGGCTGCTTTGCTCAGCACGGGGAGGGAACCTAGCAACTGATCACGATCAGTATCAGACTCCAATACGCCGTCCAATACGAGAGTTGCTGCCCCCAGGATCCTTTCTAGCGACTATAGATATAGATCTGAGAGACGCTCAGTCGTCGCAATACCTACTGAGATTTGCTGTCCGGGGACCGGCGGGGGTCCTGCATTTTCAATACAGGGCCTTGCCATTCGGCCTTTCCGCTTCGCCTCAAATCTTTACCAAAGTATTGGCAGAGACTCTGGCTCCCCTAAGAGCATGGGGGGTAGGGGTCATTCCATACTTAGACAACCTTTTTGTTTTTCGCCCCATCGGAGATGTTGCTCCGACAAAAGATGGAGCTAGCGATACAACACTTGGAGAGTCTGGGTTGTTTGGTGAACAGGGAGAAGTCACAACTGGTCCCAGCACAGACGGTAAGGTTTTTGGGTTATTGGATCAATACCCAGGAAATGACCATTGCATTACCAGGGGAAAAAAGTGTCTTTGCTGGTAGAGGAGACAGCCAGCACCGCTAGTAGTCACGACATGCCAGTGTCTGGGGTTGGGGAGCCCACTGCCTGGAGCACATTTGGCAGGATACCTGGGAGCACGCGGGCAGAATCAAGTCGTCAAACTGGAGAGAGCTAAAGGCGATAGGGCTGGCTCTCTGCCAGTTTCAAGATCCTTTAGCAGGCCACCATGTAGCGGTGGCCTCGGACAATGCCGCAGCGGTAGCTTATATAAACAAGCAGGGGGGCACGCGGTCGCATGGCATTGGCGACGGAAATTCTGTCATGGGCAGAACGCAACCTCCTCTCCTTGACGGCGAGGCATATCAAAGGCAGCCTGAACGAGCTGGCAGACTCACTCAGCAGAACGGAGCTTCACAGGTCCGAATAGGCTCTGAACACGAGAACGTTTGCCTGGATCACCAGCTTGTGGGGCTGTCCAGAGGTAGACCTCTTCGCAGCGGCCAACAACAGGCAGGTGGAACATTTTTTTTTCCCCCCCTCCCTCTCCAGGAACGACGGGGCTCTAGGGGTAGATGCTTTGGTGCACCCCTGGAGGTTCCGTTTAGGTTACGCATTTCCTCCACTGCAGTTAATTCCGAATGTGCTTCGGAAACTCAGGGGAAGATTCCTGGAAACGGAGATATCAGGTAATCAGCTCATGTTTTTTGTACATTTCGCGCTGCTTCGGACAAGCAGAATTAAATGTACAGTGGGGAGCCGACTCTCGTTTTTATACAAGTGATCAGATCACTTGTATGAAACGAGCAGCA